AGCCATAGGGGAACTCTTCCAAAATAGCCTTGTGTTTGCCATGGGCGATACCTTGTGGGGCAAGGCAGCCTACAGAGAAAAGGCAATGCAAATGGATTACCACAATGTCAGTTTGCATCTCAAATCCTATCCCACCCAAATTATTACATTCAAGACGTCTGTGCTGCCCCTATCATATTCCTGCAATAAGCACTGCTATAAAGATCATCACTATGATTATATGCACAGTCCACTTATGGCACCCTTCCACATCCGGTTGCTTTCCAGATGCATCGGGATCAAGCGCCCATCCCTTACGAGCCACCCCGATCCCCGTAAAAGGCAGTAGAGCAGACTGAGCCACTGATCTGCAAAAAATAAGAGACAAAGGACCTTGGCATCTGGGGCCTTCGCTCCACTTTACAGAGTTTGAGCTGTTCCAAACGCATGTGATACTGTAGTTTCCAATGGGGGAATAGCCGGCATCGCAAATATAGATTACTGATTTCCCATATGTGAAGTCTTCTCCAAAATGCTTCCCGTGGGTGATTTTTGGGGGTGGCGGACAATGCATCACTGCAAAAGAGCAAAGCGTTATAACTAAGCAGAGAAATTATCTTCATTCTTGATCTGCCAGAAGCTGTAACCGATGAAACATCTTCCCACCAAGCAAGTAGCTATTGTGACAGAAATGATATAAGTAATTTTCAGAAGCAAAACTTGGTAATCTCTGCCTCTGGTGATCACCATCTGGAACAGACTGAGAATGAGAGGGACAGTGCTTTATTACTTGAGAGCTACGTTTTTCTCAAATCAAACCAAGGGAGTTGTCATCAGCAGCCCCTGGTGAGCTAGAAGATAATGATTTTCCAGAGTTCAAAATGGTCTCAAATGTGTGCTTGAAAAACAATAAACTGGAAGAAAAGACTGTATGTTTGATACAAAGTAATGATATTCCATCTTAGTCCAGAAAGTACACATTGCAGTTTTTCCTACCTTCACAGGAAGGCACGGGAAGGCTCCAGTTTCCAGAAGGTGTGCAGGTAATAGATGACTTTCCAACAAGCAAATAGCCCAGATCACAAGAATAAGTCACAGAGCTTTCAGAAGCAAACATCTGCAGAGCCAAGCCATCATGTTTTCCATTGGCTATGCTTGGAGGGAAGGGACACTGTGATTCTAAAGGAAAAAGAAAGAAAAAAGGAACACAGAGGAGAACATTCAGAATACTGTTTTGATATGATACTTAGTGGAAAGCTGCAATTAAATGCCATTTAGTACAAGTTGAACTCTCCACTTCTCCAAGGAGCACAAGGCACCTCGTGTGATATTGCCTCCCATATTTTTTTCATTACTGCAGCCCAATACAGTAGGTTAGGTTTGTGTTAAGTCATGCTTTGTTGACATGGCTTATATGAAACTGGTTCACCTATAATATTAAGCCACAAAGCCTAGTTTACAATTCCCACTGGTTGAATTCACCAATACACAAAGTGAAAACAAACCACATTTAGGCTTAGCACAGTGCAGGAACCCTGGCAGTATCTCATTCAAAGTAACTTAGCGAGGCTCATGAGAGTTTTTAACCTGCATCTTACATGTCCAAATCCAACACCCAAAGGCCACTTTCTATGCTATAAGTCCTGCAGAAGTTGTTACAAGCGGCAATGAATTAAAAAAAAAATTACTTTCACAGTGAGGGACAGGAAAGGTCCACGTGCCAGAGTCTGTGCAATGAATAGTAGCATCTCCAATTAGAGTGTAGCCAAGGTTACATCTGTATTTCACACACATTCCACTTTTGAATACTGCTACTTCCTGGTTGCTGTGAGCCCCATTTTGGATATTTGGAGGTGCCTTGCACTCAACCTCTGAAAAGATACAAAAGCACCACTGATCTTCAAACAGTCACTGCTTATCTCTCAGTGATGTGCATATCCTTAGGAGAAAATGGTTAGCAGCAGGCAGGAGTCCATGCAAAGTATTCCTTCCAAAGGATTCTCCTAGCCCAACAAATCTACAGGCATCCAGAAATTATCTCTGGTGTGCTTATTTAGTATAATTCATTTATTCAAGTCCGATGACATCTCTATCATGGCCAACATGTTTTTTTGGTATACTCTAGCCCACCTCAAAAATGCACAGTAAATAATATCATGCTTTAGAGCCTACAGATTGGTTACTGATATTCCGTTCTGTTTGTTTGATTTCTTTCGTTTCCAATTTTAGCATCTATGACTCCAGTGTGATCTGCTTGATTAAATTTAAGTATTATGTTCACATTGTTTTAGATGTCTTCTCCTTTCCTTTTTATCATATCTCATTCTATGGTTTACTTAGAGTCTGCATTTGTAAAAAAGTAAGTATTTTTGCTTTCCTTTTCCTCCCATAAATTTTCTTGTGTTTTTTTTTTTAAATCAGGGATAGATAGAAAACTTGTAAATAAGTCAAATGATAAATGTAATGATAAATTTCTACACATATATTTTCTAATTAAACTCTCATTGCTGACAGTGCAAGAGAAAATGGGAAAACCCTAGTTGATAGGCAGCTGAAGTTCACCAGTTCTGAAAAGACGAAGAAGTTATTCCTCTTTTATATCAATTGCATATGTAATGAGGTAGAACCATATAGGTAATATTCATCTAGGCTAGTCAGTAAACGTGCTCTGCCCTTGAGATTTCTGTCTCACGATTCTGTCCACTCAGTTATAAATTCAGAACTTGCTACTTTAGGTCCACGCTACGCTTCTCCTCCCTTTCTGCCCAACATGAAACTTCACTCTTTGTTTAACCACTGTGCACAGTTTTTGGCTCTGATTTTCTAGCATCTTTCATGATGCTGGGAGCTAGAACAATTTCTGCACTGCAGATTTACAGAGGCGAGTTCTGCAAGCGTATGTAGTGCCAATGGACTCATTCCCCAGTTTTCTCTCAGATAATAGATACATTCATTGTTATGGCCATGCAACAGTTATCCTAAAGCAACAGTTATCAAGCTGGGTGTGAACTTCTGAACCCGTAAAGCCTGATATTTTATAATGAGATTAATTTCATAGAGGATATAAAGAAGGAACGTTTGGTTTGTTGGTGGGCTTTACTCTTCAGTTCATACCGATTACTGTCTTAATAAGCTCAAAATAAATTACAATAGTGCTTCTCCCGCTGACAGAGAAATGCAAGTAGTAGTAGTACATACCCCAGACACAGATTGGTACTGGAGAGTCCCATGTGTTGTCAGGCTGGCAGTGAATCGTACGGTTCCCTTTCAGGATATAGCCAGGATTACATTCAAATGTAACTGTTACTATGGATTTAATTACTTCTTGAGATCTTATTTTTCCATTATGAATTCCTGGAGTTACACAGCTTGTGGCTACTGAGGAAAAGAGAATGTCACCATTAGACTCACCCTTGAGTTACGCCTGGAGCACAGTCTCTAGAAGTTCAATAGCCCTTAAGATGCTTCTTTGTGCAGGACCTTTTTGAAGCTGGTAAACCTGATCTCTCATTACTCACTTTGGATTTATACTAAAGTTTTCCAAGCATTAGGAAATGTTTATATTGAATATATTGTATTAGGAAATGTCAAACATCAATTATTATACTATTTTATTGTGACATTGGTTTAAATTGTAATCATTTTGATTTACTTGTATTTTGCTTAGTTATAGTGTACACCAAATAAAACTACTACTTCAACTACAATGTAAGAGTTCTGTCTGGCCTGAAAATTGTTGGTCCTGTCTTATCAGCTTTAACTCTCGCATAATCAATATAATATTTGAATTGCTCTCTCCAACCAATTTTTGCCTCTCTTACCTCTGCGGCAGTTTTGTGCCACCTTAAGAGAGTCCTCACCATGACTCCCTAAGCCTTTGGAGGACAAAGAAAGGATAGAAAAACCATCCAGTGCATCGATCGCAAACTGAAACATTTTTATCTCCAGCCAGCACTCTATTTCCACTCCTGTCCTTACTTCATTTGTTTTCACATAAAGAGAAAAAAACTCAGCAACTGTACTCAGTGTGTGGCAAAGCCACCCCTCTCATTTCTGTGAAAGGATGAAACAATCGTGGCTAAGGTGCATTGGTTGCAGGATGAATGGGAAAATCCCAGGGACAGGATGTGAGATAAGGTGAGACTTCTCACCAGTAGGAAACCATTCGTTATGCTGCTCTGCTAGAATGCTAAACAACTGTCTTTGCAGCATAGCAGATTGAGTATGATCTCAACCTTACAAAGTAAACTGCAAGCCTGAATAAGACCCACATTTACAGTTTAGTGTTGAGGAGTTCCAAGACCCAGAATCTGTACAAAAATACCTTGAGTCTCCTATAAGGTTGTATCCAGGCTCACAACCGTACTGCACAAACACCCAGCAGTAAAATCTTCTGATCCCTGAACAATGTATTTCCGATTAGCAATTGTTGGAGGTATAGAGCATTGCAAAGGTGAAAGAGAAAAAAATGAAAGAATGCAGAAAATGCAGAATTTAAAAAAAGTTTCAACATTTTCTGGTGTCTCTAACTTCACTTTCCACTGATTTGATCACAGTGCAAAGAAAGTTATCTATATGTGCTTATGTGTTGTGCATGCATATGGGTGTGTGTGAGTAAGGGAGGAAGGAAATCAAACTGCTTTGGTTAGTCAATCTTTCTCCTCGAGGAATGATAATTCTCTAAACAAATAATAGCAGGGCCATTTTCAACTTGGGTCTTGTTTGTTCCTGCCTTTTTGGTCATCAAATGATATGCAAGGTCCTGAGGCTTAGTAGATCTTCATGTAAGAGATAAGGCAGAGTTATTCTAAAGATGGTACAAGAAAGATTGAGTTTAAATTATAAGAACATAGTTTTAGAGTACATGATCTGAAGGACACCTTGCAACTCTTAAATTCTAGGATTCATTCTGATTGAAGCATAGAGAGTAACACCTCACTTAGGAGTTCTGTAGTTTCCATGGTGTAAATTGCTCATGCCTCATTGTAATTTGATTCGTTCCTTTGGAACCATCCAGTGCAGCTCTTGATAGTGTATAATCAACATTATCTTATTCAGGAGCATAAGGTACATCAGTGACATACTGAAATAGCATTGCAGCAATGCAGAAGCCTTGATTTGTTGATTGTGGCATCAAGCAGTTTATGTTCTGACTGAACTGTGATTCTGACATCAAAAACTTACCATTAAAATTTGGTGTCAGTACCAAACTATTACACATAGTTTCAACTGGAGCCAAAAAAAAAAAAAAATGAGGTATAGGCTACTGATCTTTCAGGGACAAAAAATCATAACCCTGAGCAATAGCGATAACTATTTTTAGCATTTTAGAGTTTTCTGGTTCTCTGGGCCCTCTCTCATTTAGCCTCTTTAAGCAATTTCCTCAACAGTGCCATGATAGGCTCATTAGGATTGTACTGATAACTGTCTTCAGGTACTAGCATCATGGTTATGGCCTCCACCTGTCTCTTATCTAGTTTCACACTAACTTCATTGATCATACATTCTATTTTATCTGTTGAAATGATTGTTCTTTTCACCACCTTCCTTAGGATGTCATTATCCTGCTGCAATTATTGTGTCCTCAGCCATGAGCTGCATTCCTTCAATATCCCAGAACATTCATGATTTCTTTCTTGAATACCTCACTGGAAGATTTGTTGCCAAAAGGTAATTATTCAAGATTTACCACCTCATGGTGTGTTAAATGTGCACAGCTCTGCTGACTTTGCATCCAAGCATACTTGCTATTGCCATCTTTCTCATCAAAAAAGGCATGATCCTGTTTGTCCCTATGTACCTTAGTTCTTACTCCCAGATGACCTATATGCAGACTGTAAAAATTCAGTTTAAAGAAAAATCACCTAAAGCCCAGAGAAAGGAGAATCTTTGTGGTAATAGTGGGGAAGAGACGTTCAATTCACTTCTTTGCAAAATATTATTTGATTTCATTTTAAAAAACAACCAGCGTCTTTTCAATAGGTCTCCACTGGATATCTAAGGAAAACATTTTCTCCCATGGGGAAGTTGACCTAATGACACTTATACCAATTTTGCTTTTGAGCATTTTCAGCCAAGCAGTCTTTGGCATATGGCCTCCAAAGCATCAGTAATATAAAACAAAAAGAGGAAGATAGCTATTTCCAAACCAACAGTTCCATCCAATGCAAATTTTTCATTCACTTTACAAGCACAGGAAGTGTAAAAATAAAGGTAAGAAAAACTTCAAAAACAATACATTGCTTGATTCAGGCTCTTACACTGCATGGTTTCTGCACTGCAAAAGAAATAGTGTCAAACGGATTAACAAAAAGATGTGCCAGAATGTTTCACAAATGTAAAATGAAACTCTCATCAGCTTATGAAACAATGATGGTCTAAAGCCCCACTTGTAAGTCTGCTCTTCTGGAAGAAACAAAGTTGAGTGCGACAACGCAGGCCTTGCATGCATATTGTCAGTGTGCATTTTCAACAGACACAATGAAACGGTTCTCTATTCATTGGCCCATGCATCGCTGTCAGTTGCTGCCAGTATCGCTTACTGAAGTCTAGGCAGTGTAGCCCTCAGGGGGCTGCCCATGTCCTTGGCACCAGATGTCACTTACACTATTGCTATAAAGCAAGTTTAACAACTAGGTCTCACGTACATTCTCTGCGTTTACACTGAGGGACAGGTTGGTCCCACGTTCCAGAAGTCTGGCAGTAAATGGTTGGCGCTCCAATAAGAGAGTAGCCCGGATCACAATGATAAGTCACCGAGGAGCCATAGGGGAACTCTTCCAAAATAGCCTTGTGTTTGCCATGGGCGATACCTTGTGGGGCAAGGCAGCCTACAGAGAAAAAGCAATGCAAATGGATTACCACAATGTCAGTTTGCATCTCAAATCCTATCCCACCCAAATTATTACATTCAAGACGTCTGTGCTGCCCCTATCATATTCCTGCAATAAACACTGCTATAAAGATCATCACTATGGTGATATGCACAGTCCACTTATAGCACCCTTCCACATCCGGTTGCCTTCCAGATGCATCGCGATCAACCGCCCATCCCTTACGAGCCACCCCGATCCCCGTGAAAGGCAGTAGAGCAGACTGAGCCACTGATCTGCAAAAAATAAGAGACAAAGGACCTTGGC